CGGGCGGCTACCTAGAACCAGCCGAGAGCGCGGCCCCTCAGTCCCCAGACCAGCTCTGCAGGGGCGCACGGCCAGCAGGACGGGTTGAGATCTTCCATGCGAGGAAGCTCCCCGGGCCCCCCCAGCCCTGCAGAGGTCTCAGGAAAGCTGGTCAGACTGGCCCAGGTCACAGTGCCAAAGGACCACCTCTTCATTTTGGCTCATGCCCCAAAATGCCCCCGGCACTCCCCCCCACCCCTCCTCATGCCCTCTGGATGCTCACTGAGCACCAGGACCGCTCCCAAAGACACGGGGCACATCCTGCACGCCCAGCACTGCAGCCTTCCCTCCTCAGCCGTGCGAGGAGACAGCCCATGGTGTCTCTACTTGTGTAGAGCTTACAGCAAGGAGAGATGTTTGGCAAATAAACCAGGGAGATTTGCTGGTTTTGCTCCCCCGGTTCCCAGGAGAGACCTTGGCACCTGTCTCTGGTGAAGCCCAGCAGCTCTGAGATGGATTTCAGGGGCGGGATGTTTCCAAACTCTTATGTCCATTCCCCAACTGCCCCCTTCCCACCAGAGCAGAGCTAGACATCAAGATGAGTTCTGGCCACCCGCACGGACGAGTGCACACCTACCCTGCTGCAGGGACGAGGCCTCCTCGATCTCTTCCCCTGCCAGGCTCTGTAAGGAGGAACAGCACAGGTTACTTCTGCGGGCTGGAGGCCTTTGCTGTGCTTCTCTCCAGAGCGCTGCGCTTGGGGCCGGGGACTCGTTTCTGGGAGGGAGCAAGGGGCCACCCATCAGCACCGTGGCACCATGGGCCGGGATGGAGGGGTTTTACAGGCAACGGCTGCGGGTGCTGGAAGCCCAGCAAGGCCCAGCTTCAAACACTGCTGGGCTCCCCCAGGCCAGCTCTGGCATGGCTGCAGCCAAGTGGCTTTCCACCCTCCAGGTCCCAAAGACGTGTTAGGGGCACAGAGAGCGGCTACGTCCTTCCCCATGGAGTCCTACAGGAAATAAAGGCTCCGGGCTACTCATGCTAACAAGCTCATCTTCACCCTGTCACTGAGGAAGCGATGGCCCTTCGTGAGACACCTCTCGTGTCACAGAAGAAGCCCCCCGAGAAGAGCTCCGGCTCAGAGCAGCTCCCCAGCAGAGCACACTTACTTCTGGAGAGCTGGTCTCTCTCAGGACCAGCTCACCCCCGCTCAGTGCCGGCTGCGAGTCGGAGTCCTCGGAAAGCTTCTCTTCATCCTCCTCATGGATTGGGGATGAGGGAGACCGTAGTGTGCTGCAGTAATAGAAACTCTGTTTGCACGGAGCCCTGACGGATTTGGTGGCAGCAGTTCAGGTTGTCACCACCCTTGCCCTGTCCCTCCACCAGCAGCATAACCCAACATGCAGGAGCTCAAACTATGGAGCTAAATTCACGAGGGCCCTCCAGTACCAGCTACACAGAGAACGGCAGCAGCAGCGTTTCTGGGGCAGAGCCAAGCGGTGCAGAGCTCCGGCACAGTAACACAAGTCAGACAAATCCTGCCTTCGCGTGGAAAGCAAGAGGCCCAGATCCCACGCTGCTCCTCACACCTTCAGGGGCTCCCTTCCGAGCGGGAAATTTGGAATGAAGCACAGTGAGGAGTGCCGGAACAAACCCGGTCTGACCCCATCTGTACAGCCCTGCAAGGGACACATGAAGGGCACCTGCAGTGGGCTCCCCACTCTACAGCATCCACACCTACATCCTCCACCATGAGGCCAATAGAGGAGGCTTGAGACAACAACTAAAGGATGCCACTCAGTGTTTTGTGTTCTGAAATTCAGGTCACTTCTCTCCCCATTCTTTTGTTCCTGGGGAAGCCCACGGAAAGCTGAAATCCAACAAGGTTTGGATGTCAAATGCAAATTGAGGGAGTAACCGCATTAGAAAGGAGACATTTCCATCCAAAGTCTGGATGAATTCTTGTTATAAATCCTCCTCCTTTTGGTGACAAAGCCAGCTCTTGGGAGACATAAGCTGGTCACCTCAGGCTGAACACACGGGCAGTGTCCCAGTTCTCTCACTGGCATGAGTACCTGCTGGCCCCCTAAAATCATGAGCTAGCTGGTCCAGCGATGGGACCAGCCAGAGCCCTCTCCTGACTCCTGGTGCACGTGGCCACAAGCCCTCAGGGCTGGCAAGAGGAGCGGACCCCTTCGTTCCCTTGCTGACCTATCTGGGGACTTGCTCCGCTTGCCCTTTTGGTGGCTGCTCTCCACGGCTCTGTCCATCCCCACAAGCGGTCGGCTCGCAGGTGGCATTCCATCCACCACCCCGGAGTAGTTGATTTCATCATACAGAGGAGCTGATGGGATGGAGGGGGAAACAGAGCGAAGACCGTTCAGCGCTTCCAGCAAGGAAATGGGCTCATAGCCTGGAGGGATGTTGTCAGAGCTCTGTGGGCGAGAAAGAGGAAGGCGTTAAGAAACCCTCACCAGGCTGGAAGCCCCCCTAGAAAAGGGAGGTCTGGCTGCAACCCAGCCCTGTGCCTCCCACACTGTGCTCCCAGGCAGCCCATCCCCACAGCCACCTCTCCAGAGAGCCTCAGCCTCCTTCCCCCGCCATAGCCACAAGTCCCCTTTGGGTTGTAACGCTGCTGATGCTCCAGGCAAATGTCCAGAGCAATGCTCGAGAGACTGGGCACCTCAGCAAGCCACAACGTGGCTGGGCACCCCCTCGCCATACTTTCAAGAGCCGGACAAGGAGGGTGAGAAAGCAGGCTCCTAATAAAGCTGCTATAAAATACATTTGGATTTTTTCTCCTAAAAGTTTCTCCAATGGTTCAGAGACTCTTCCAGCTCAATAAGCACCCCACTTGTGCTTCCAGCCTTGGTACGCACAGCTGTTTCACAGCACCACCGGGGTCACTAAGAGCGAGTCGGAGGAGGGGAGTACGTGTGCAGCAGCTGAGAGCTGGTCCTCGGAGCCTACAGCACTTCCACTCCTCCCGTGGACTCGGTCCCCTCAGCTGCTAACATTGGCTCTCTGCACGGTCACCTCTGCTAACAGGAAAGGGATGCCAGAGCCACTGACCCTGTACGGAGAAGGGCAAAACCGCACCAATTCCCATTCTCTCTGTAACTCACTAAGCTGCCAGTCAAAGGGACCCTTGCAAAGCCATTAAACCAACACCGCATTAACTCCAAAAAGCCTCCTGATCATCAAGGTCCTGTGGACTCGGAGATAAACGGGGTTTATTCTGCAACCCAGTAGGTCACAGGCAGCTAAATCCAGCCCACCGCAAACAAAGAGGCAAGGCTGCAGTGGTCCAGGCTCATATTAAATTAAGCTGTTTCAGCCCTGCACCCTCGGGGAGGTGATTCTGCATACCTAAGATGGCGTGCTGCTGCTTGAGCTTGGCCATGACCTCCTGTAGCTTTTCTGTGCCTGATCTCCCAATCACCCAGCTGCAGATGAGCCTGCCCAGCAACCTTTTCCAACCTAGCCATTAATTTGGAGTGAGCTGATTGCTGAACTGACTCACTTGTGGTCACAGAAGGAGCTAGATCTGACAGGGAGGAAAGAATGAGTGGCACCTGGGGTCCAGCATCAACCTGCATCCTTAAGTGCTGGTCTTGCCTTGGTTATGAGCTTGTGCTGAAGACCACAGCTGGTCATCGCAAGATAACCAAGTCAGCTGAACAAGGAATCTGTTCACAGTTGCTGCCACCTGTAGGCAGTGGGACCAAAAGCCATCTCCACTAAAACATTTCATTTCCAGACAGCAGCTTGGAGGTGCTATTTCATGGACAGAAAAGTCAGGGAGACAAAACTCCCTGGCTCGAGTTTGGGACGTGTTCTCCTGGCTGTGTAGACCAAGGCCTGAGGATTTCAAAGGCTGCTCGTTTGGGTTCGCTGTGGTGAAAGCTCAGGTTCTGTGGCACAGCTCAGAGGCACGAGGAGGATTTCTCAGCCAACGGCTACAACACCCTCGCTGCAAGTTACTGAGCTTTCAAGCAACCCTAAGAGACACTGCTCGCTCTTGGGACACTTACCACCACACCACCCCGAGAGCCCACTGCTCCAGCGGGAGTACTGCTAGTCGCTGCAGGAGGCTTGTGGAGAGCCAGGGTCACGCCAAGCTTGCAATAGCCTCATTATCTGAACCCAGCCTCAGGTTTTCTCCAGACCTGACAAGCACAGCAAGCCACGTTCCTCGTAAGGCTGAGCACCCAGGCTGGCTTGAGCAAAAGAAAACTGCAGCCTCCTTGATACCGATGACAGCTGTAGCTGCATTTGAAGGGACAAACACAAACAGACCCTTCCTGGCCTGGGGTCCTCCCTCACCTTTTCCCCTTCCCAGCTCCTGGTCCCTCGCAATTGCTATTCCTGCCGTCCCCAGCATGGCATTCCAGTTACACACTCTCGCACCACCTCAGAGGGTGCCCAACAAAACAAGCTCGATCCTTCCTGTTTCTGTAAAAGCATAACAGCCCACTGCAGCCAGTGTTCCTGAACGCAAGACCTGGTTCAAGTGTGCCTCTACACCCCAGCACCAGGGTGGAAACCACAAGACGTGCCCACGCCGAACTGCCAAGGGGGTAAGACAGTGCAAGGAAGTAAGAAAAAAAGTGCAAGGAAGCCTTTGGGTGAGCCAAGGGGAGAGCAGCTTGCCCACACTCCTACAAAGCTACTAAAACATCTTGGCCAGGAACTGTAAAGCACCCAGGCTCAGGACCTGGGGACAGTGCCTGAAAAATCAGTGTCAGACCCCCACGGCAAGCTGCTTCCATCTTGCTTATTCCTCCGCACGCAAACCGGAGAGGTTAGTGATCGTCCGTGCAGGGTGCGAGTCTCACCGCTAACATGGAGGCACTACGTGGAGTGTCACAGCCTGTGCAGGGGCACAAGTGAAACCCGGCGTGTTAGCAAGCCTTTGTGTGTGTGACACGTCCACGTGCTAGTGACACCACTGGCAAAGAACTGCCGTAAGGAGCAAATACAA